GTTCAGTAAGGAGCCACAGGTACTAAGAAGAGGAACAGCACATCACAGAGCTCAGGGACATCCAATGATCCAGAGGAGCTAAAAGGGCAAAGCTGGGTGTCCCTTGGCTTTGATGACATTAACGTCACAAAAACTCATGTAAAATCTATGGGTCATACTGCATCAAACACCAGGGCAGCAAAAACAGGCGAACATACAAGAGCACGGAGCATCAAGGAAATCGCAGAGAAATACACAAACACCACTGTGTCTAGAGGAGCCCAGAAGAAAGGGTCAAGGGAGGTAGTTGACCTTGGAGTCAAGGGACTTCTATGGGGAGGGTGGTATCCTTGACTACAAAGAGCAGGAGTTTATTAGACCGGTGTGGAGACAAAAGAAACGTCATGGACAAAAGTGTCAGAGTGATACAACTCGGGAATATAAGAGAGTCTCTCACTCCAGGAGAGCTGAAGAGATGAGGCTGAGGTAAGAGGGCGGAAAGCAAGGGGTCAAAGACCTTCCAGCCTATGTAGGAGTTTCAGTTCACTCCAAGGCAGAGAGAGGTGTAGAGGGAGAAGACATCTGATTAAGAAAATAGTCACTGACTTAGCTAGGACATTAACCCGATGGGTAGTCTTGGAAAATACCTCCCATAGGCCTGTTTCACCCTTTGAAATTAAAAAATAATATACAACTTCCCCGTTCTTACAACCCAAGGCTCCTAAGAGTTGGTCCATTTGGAGCTGGGGTGTAATCTAGTCAATAGAGTGCTTGCCTAGCATGCAGGGGACCCTGGGTTTCATCTCCAGCACTTTATAAGGTAGGTGTGGTGGTGCAGTGTAATCCTAGCACTAAGGATTTAGAGGCAGGAGAATTAAAGTTCAAGTCCATCCTCAACTACGTAGTAAGTTCGAAGCCAACCTGGGCTAAATGAGACCCTTAGAGTCAGTTCATTTGAGAGAGCCGCTTGTTTGAAACAAATGAACACCCCAGTGGGCTCTGATTTTTGGAGCTGTCATTTGGCTTGAGATTTTGCAAAGGGCCAAAAGACCCTCAGGGTCAAGCCATGCCATCAGCATGTGTAGGAGGTTTGTTCCCAATTCTCCGGTGAGGATGAGAACGGAGGACTCCGCTGTGGCCCAGGGGAAGGGCTGACATTTGCTGAGATGTCTGTATTTAACTCCCACTGCCTGACATCTGTTTCCAATTAATCCGCCTGTGTTAAGAGGGATGCTACCCAGAGCACTTGATCCCAGCTCAGTTCTCCAGAGAGGAAGCCACAGAGGGGTAAGCCGATCCTGACTCCCGCCTCCATAGCTCCACTCCCCTACTCCCTGGGGCTCTTTTGACCTCCAGGAGCACCTGGCCTGAGAGGCACCCCAACACCCATTCCTCATCACCCCAACACTAGTTCCACACCATTCTTTGCAGTCACACTTCAGCAGCATCAGGGATATGTTACAAGAAATGAAGAGAAGCCCATGTCCAAAGTCACTAGACGAACTGTGTTTAGGGAGAGAAGCGTGAGGTGGATGGGAGAGGCAGGCAGGCAGGAGCCAGGCTGGACAAGAACCTGGAGCCTCCATTAGGAGTTCATGTGTCCTCATTTTTTCGTTTGTTTAGTTGGTTGGCTGGTTGGTTGGTTGGTTGGTTGGTTTTGTTTGGCTCTCTTTTGGGGTGGGGGGCAGGTAAAGGGATGGAGGTGCAGGACATGTTTTGAGACAAGGTCTCATGTAGCCCCGGATAGCTACTTTTATGTAGCCGAGGATGACCTTGGACTCCTGATCCTCCTGCCTCCACCTCCTAAGTGCTGGGATTACAGGCATGTATCACCACACTCAGTTCCCAGTTGCTGGGGACAGAAGATTACCGCATGCTAGGCAATCTACCAACCAGCTACGTCCTCAGCCCCAAGTCCCTATTTCTACCCTAGGACTGTGGGATAGGTCATGATCCATTTACATCTTCTCCCTCTGTTTCTCTCTGTCTGTCTCTGTCTCTGTCTCTGTCTGTCTCTCTGTCTCTGTCTCTGTCTCTCTCTCTAGATGCTTATAGAGAAGAAGTGGACAGGGCAAGAATGGGAAAGAGGATCATTTTGAACTGTGCTTTCAAGAGCAGCTTCCCCAGCCACACTTAGAAATGTAGTTAGAGAAACCAGGACAGCAAACATGTTCTGCTTTTTTCGATTGATTGCACTTACACTCAAACACTACTTGATTCAGCTATTTGAACTTTCAGTAAGTTTAGAATAACTTAGGAATGTGATTACAACTGTCAAGTTTATAAAACCTAAATACAAATCAAGTGTTTAGAATGAAGATTTTGCAACCCCATTGAAATATAAAGTAAGTGTAAAATGTGTGCTGCATTTTGAAGACACTACATATTCACCACACACACATACACACACACACCCCCTCTCACATATATATACATGTACCATATACACACACTACCTACACACACATCTTTAAGAGAAGAATGTAAAGTGTCTCGATACTGTTTAATACTGACTATGTTAATATGACAGTAGTTTGAATGTAACAAGTTAATTAAATAGAGTATTAAAATTATGGGGCTGGGGGATGCCTTAGTCAGTGAAGTGTGGCCTCACAAACATGAGGACCTGTGGTTGAAATGAAAACCAGGCATCATGACACACTCTTCAAATCCTAATGGTGCGAAGCAGAGGCAGGTGGATAGTTCCAGGCCAACGAGAGGCTATTAAAAAAGAGTGGACAACACCTGACGACACCTTGGATGAGTGGACACCAGAGATTGCCCCCTAGTCCCTCTCTGCACATGTAAACACACACACACACACACACACACACACACACACACACACACATGCACCATTCCACATACATATGTATGCACATCATATATATATCTCACAATTCATACACACACCAATACACACATATATACACATACCATACACACACTTACACACATACCTACATGTGCACATCATATACATACATCTCACGCATACATACACACACCATCTACACAAATATACATACATACCACATACAAACCTATACAAATACCACCACATACTACATACACAAACACCACCACATACACACCATGTACACACACTACATACACACACCATGCACACATATACATATATACATACCACCACATACACACCACCTACACATACACATATATACATATACAGAAATTACACATACACATTAACATGTACAGAAACTACATACACATACCACAGACACACACACACATATCACTACATACATGCCACCTACATACCGCACACACACAAACACATACTCCACATACACAAAAATTACAGTCACTTATTTTGTTTTCTTTTTCTTTCGCGGTGCAGTGCCAAGAAAATGTTGACATTTTCACTGGTGGGACATGCTGTATTCCCTCAGGACAGCCCGGTTGGAGGGAACGATGATGCTTTGACAAGGTCAGCAGTGGCATATGCAAAGGTAGCAGATGCCACACCTGAGACATGTTTTGGAGCTGTTTTGGAGGCGGCCTCGGCAGACCTTGCTGACGGACTGGCTGTGGGGAATGCGTAAAGAGAAGGAAAATCACAGAGGGTCTGAGTTTCGGTTTGGGACTGGGTTCTGGCTTGAGCCCTTAAATAGATGTCGGTGCCATGTCCATGAACAGGGAAAACTTGGGGAAAGTCAATATTGGCAGAGGACTCTGGCTTCCTTTGGGACGTGCCAAATCTGAGATGCCTTTGAGATGTCAAACAGGCAACTGGGTGTGCAGGGCTTGTATGCAAAAGCCAAGTCGATGGCAGAGATCTCAATATGGAAGCAAGCACTTGGAAAAAGAAGAACCCTCCCCTGGGTACGCACCTCCTGACGGATGGACAGTCATATTAATGCCACCCCTGCTCTCTCAGTCAGAGCAAAAACTGAGGGAGCAAACAGTGCCCCCAGCGCCGAGTCTCTTCCGTGTGTCCCCAGCTCCCATCTTCATCGCCCTTCTCCTCCTCCAGAAGAAGAAGCCTTTCCTGGGTTCTCCCACATGCCCACAAATTCACCAGGCCAGGCAGTGTGGTGAAGGCACCGGGAGCAGGCAGGCCTCGCAGCAAGCTGTGGGTCAGGATGTTTGCACAAACGCCTCCTGGCATCATTTATCTTGAGGGATGTCAACTCGAAAAATGTTAGTTCATGTCACTGTCAGGGTAAATGCCAAAAATTAGCTTTCTTTCATCAGAAAACGGAATAATTAACTTTGCAACTGTTTCCAAAACTGCTAATTAATGGATTTTAGTCACTTGATTTGTCAGGCTGCATGGCGAGCTGAGCGGCAGCCTCGGCCCCTAGAGGATTCCAGTCCTCCCGCCCTCACGACTGGCAGAATTGGGAGAAGTTTCAAGTGAACACACCGGGAGAGCAGGCCCCAGGAAATCACCACTGGATTGGAACATCAAAATCAGTCTTCTATCACCTGTCTTTTCCAAATCGTTCTCCCAAGGGATTCTCAAAATCGTGGCACTCAAGCTACTCTACCTGTCCCCAAACTTGAAGAGCAGATTAGACTTCAATCAATCTCTCTCCCAAGATGGGAGGTCCCTAGAGACCTCTTAGGGAAGAGGGGGGTTGAAGACCAGCAAGACACTTGCCTCTTTAAACTTCAGTTTTCTGGTCTATAAAATGGGTACGTGTGGCTAGAGAAAAGGCTCAGCAGTCGAGAACTTGCTTGCTTTTCCAGAGGATCCAAGTTTGGTTCCATGACCCAGAATGGGCAGCTCATAAGTGCCTGGAACTCCAGCTCCAGGGGATCCAATACCCTCTTCTGGCCTCCACAGGCATCCACATGTGTGTGCATCTACACATACACACACACACACACACACACACACACACACACACAAATAAAATATACACATACATACACACAAATAAAATAAATAAAATCTTTATTTTTACAAAAATAAAGAATTACAATGTGGATTCTGTGGTAGAGCTACATGCCAAGTTTGCCAAAAGCTTACCGGAGAAAACTCAAGCCCTGGATGTAGTGGTCAAGCCCTCAACCAACACGGCTACCATCTCTCTCTTACTCTGCCTCCTATGCCTACACTACACCTGCCTGGCTCAGGCTCCTTCTCGGCCACAAAGTCACATCTCCCCTGACAACCAGCTGGAAATCCGTTGCAATTACCAGAGAAACATTCACACTGTGCAAATCTGAGCAAGCACAAGATTGGAATGTTGGTCCCCATTCTGATGTCACCATCCTGAGACTTGACATGCAAGCCTAGTAACCTTCACAGGGCTTCCGATTGTAGGTGGAGTGTACCTCTACTCCCACTGATGGGTATGGGGTGTGTGTGTGTGTGTGTGTGTGTGTGTGTGTGTGTGTGTCTGTCTGTCTGTCTGTCTGTGTGTGTGTCTGTGTGTGTGTATCTGTGTGTATCTGTGTGTGTCTGTGTGTAACCCCCAATGGTACAATATTCACTGTCCTCTGTTGTATCTGACTACTTGAACACTGACTACTAATAGCTTCACGTTCTCCACAGGCTTGCCATTGGCTAACCGAGCTGTGCACTTGTGGCCAGGGAAGGGTTAACAGAAGATGTGTGTATCTAAAGACACTCAGGCGGGACCAAGGCTGGAGTGCATTTTCCCCTCCAAAGTTCCTCCTTGGGGCCAAGCTGAAGCTTAAGTTAATTTCCTTCAACTCTTCTATCAACCTTCCTCAACTTCACTTCTCCTGAGAGCAGCCCCCTGATGAAACATTGTCACAATAGTTCCCCAGGAATAGTAACAAATGGTTGTTGTCTTAAGCCACTTGGGTTTTGAGGTGTTCTGTTACATGCATTACGAGCTGATACAATTAGAACATATAGCACATGGACTATTATCCAGCTGTTAAAAATGGCAGAAGCTCAATATACTGACTCTAAAGCGTGCCGACAGAGCAATTTTGTTGAAAAAAAAAAAAAAGGTCACCAAAAAGCATGTTTAGCAACCTTCTTTCTGTTAAAACAGACAGACAGACCCCTGTTCCCATCCCAATATTCCACTAAAGAAAAATGGCTGGCTGGCTCTTAAGGACTTCACAGTGTCCCTGTGCAGGGTGTGTGTGTGTGTGTGTGTGTGTGTGTGTGTGTGTGTGTGTGTGTGTGTGTTTTAAGGGAGTAAATTTTCACTTGTTCTTGATTACAGAGGTTTCTATCTATCATGGTAGGGAGGGTGTGGTGGATCAGCTTGAATCATGGCAGATAGGACAGGAAATCGAGTAGAGCAGTGACCGGAAGGGATGAAGGCAAATACAGTCCCCTGTAAACTATTTCCTCCCACACCTTCAGCAGACCCACCACCTCCTCAAACAGTGCCACCAGTGGGGACCAAGTATTCATCAGATGAGCTTGTGGAGGACATGTCATATTTAAACCATGACATCCATTATGTAAAATGATATAGTACTTACATAGAACCTACATACATTTTTCCTACACAGTTTGAACTACCTCTAAATTATTTATAATGCCAATACAATGGAAACACTAAATTGTTATTTACTGTATTATTATTATTATTATTATTATTATTTTAATATGTGTGTGTTGGTGTGTGCATGTATGCTATGTGTGCAAGTGCATGCAAGTGCCTACAGAGGCCAGAAGAGGGCATCAGATCTCCTGGAACTGGTTACAAATGATGGCAAACAGTCCAACATGGGTGCTCTGTGCACATGCCACAACACACATGTGGAGGTCAGAGGACAACTTGTGAAAGTCCCTTCGGCTCTCTCCTTCCACCATCCAGGGATCAAACACGGGTCATCAGCTTGGCAGGAAACACCTTTACCCAGTGAAACATTTTGCCAGCCCAAGAACACTCTCATCACCGATACAAAATAATAATAATAATAATAATAAAAATAAAGGTGAGTTGGTAAGCATTCTGGTCAAATCTCTCTACAGTCTACAGTAACAGTGGGTTATACCACAGTGTATAGGTTAAAGAGAGTCTATCAAAATGTGAGCTGTTTTCACCATGCACATAAGCATGGTGGCTTTGAGTTCCTTTAGTAGGAAAGCCTGTAGGAGACACATATGCACTTTCTGGTCTCTTGTCATGTGGTCCCTGCTCCACCTTAGGATGTTCCCAGATACAGTCCCTTGAGCCTACAGAACTATGAACTAAAGAAACCTCTTTTCCTTATGACTTACCCAGTCTGTAGTGCTGTGCTATTACCAACAGAAAATAGACTAACATAGATGCCAATCGCAGAGGCTGTCACAGTTCCTGGCCACTGCTCTGGTTTGGCCACAGGCCTGACCCTTATCCATGGCTTTTTCTGAAATTCTTGGATGGAATATATATGGTTCTAGGAGTCCAGAGGTAGTGACACCACTTAAGGATGACCTGGCTATGGGACCAGATACAATCATGACTTGGCCTTTCCACCTGTTAGTGTTTATAACACTTTTGTTTGACTATAAAGGCTATTAATCTACCTATAATCTGTCTATAATAGCAAGTTACTAATATTCTATGTATTGGCAGTTCAGACAGTGGGATGACAGGAGCATGACCTCACCTGGAAGTCAAGAAGCAATGACAACAAGACACGGCCACATTTTGTCTACACACAGGAAGTAACGAGAGAAAACAGGAAGTGTTGCAAGGCTGTAAACCTTCGCAGCCCACCAGCAGTGACGTACTTCCTATAGCAAGACTCTGTGGGCTAAAGGTTCCATAACCTCCCCCAAATAACTCCACCAACTGGAGACCATGTGTTCAAATAAAGGAGCCTACAGTGGACGTTTTTCATTCAAACCATCACAACCAGCGCCCACTCTACCACATGTCCTGGCTAGAGAGGGTCCTTTCATGTGTGTCTGCTCAGCTCTTACATTCCCTCCTGTCAAGACCCAGTTCAGCATCATCTCCTCTGAGAAACATTTCCTGATTCTCTCACCAACAAATACATACAGGAAGGACAGAGAGGAGCAGGGAGAAAGGAGGGGAGAAGGAGAAAAGGAAGAAGGGAAGAGATCCATCACCATCCCACTAGAGAAGGGAAGACCTCCAAAGCTGACGATTGCCCCATTCTCTATGCATGAATGTTATGTAAAAGTCTAAAGATTTGGGGGAAGAAATAATCACAGAAGGAATCCAACACAAAACATGCAGTTGGGCTGGGTATAATCAACAGTCTTTCCTTGGGATTTGGGGCTGTTCCAATTAATTTCTTACAAAAGATAAATTCTTTGTGGTAGTTCAATTAGTAAAATATTTACATCAGGGACATGAGGACCTGAGTTCAATCTCCAGAACCTAAAGTAAAACCGGGCATGGCGGTGTGAGCTTGTAATCCTAACACAGAGGAGGTAGAAGTAGAAGTGGTCCCTGGGGTTCGCTGGCCAGCAAGTTTATCCTAATTGGTGAAATCCAGGCCGATGAGAAAAACTGTCTCAAAGGAGGTAGATAGTGTTTCTGAGGCTCTCCTCTGACCATCACACAAATGTACATACATGTGTACCTGTGTGCGCACACATTTCTTAATATTTATTTTTAATGTTGTGTGCGTATGAGCATGTGAGCACAGATGCCAGAGGAGGCCAGAGGCATCAGATCCCCCTGAAGCTGGAGTTGTTGGCTTTGGTGGGTCATCAGATCTGGGTGCTGGGACTCAAACTCCAGTCCTCTTTAAGAGCAGTGCACATTCTTAGTTTCTGAGCCATCTCCCCAGGCCCTTATCCAACACATTTTTTATAAGAAAAATATTTTATTGTGTCTCATTTTTCTGGAGCAGGGTTTACCCAATGTACTTGTTATCATTGCTGTGATGAAACAGCAAAGTGACCAAAAGCAGCTTGGGAAGGAAAGGATTCACTCCACTTTCACTTCCAGATAACTGTCCATCACTGAGGAAGTCGGGGCCTGAACTCAAGCAGGGCAGGAACCTGGAGGCAGGAGCTGATGCAAAGGTCATGGAGGAGTGCTGCTTACTGGCTTGCTTCCCATGGCTTGCTCAGCCCGCTTTCTTATAGAACCCAGGACCACCATCCCTGGTGTGGCCCTACCCATGATAAGCTGGGCCCTCCCTCATCAATCACTAATTAAGAAAATGCCCTACAGGCTTGCCTTCAACCTGATCTTATAGAGACATTTTCTCAACTGAGCCCCCCACCCCCAGGACTCTAGCCTGGGTCAAGTTGATATAAAACTAGCCAGCACACCCAGGTCATTTTTCTACTTTAGGTGAATGTCTTAGTTAGGGTTTCTATTGCTGTGAAGAGACACCATGACCAGGGCAACTCCTATAAAGAAAACATTTAGTTGAGGGTGAGTCACTTACAGTTTCAGAGGTTCAGTTCATTATCATCATGGTGGGGAGCATGGTGTGGTGCAGGCAGACGTGGTGCTGGAGCTGAGAGTGCTACATCTTGCAGGCAGGTAACAGGAAGTTGACTGACTGTCACACTGAGGAAAGCTTGAGGGAAAAAGAGCTCAAAGCCTGCACCCACAGTGACAACTCCATCAAGGCCACACCTCCTAATAGTGCCTCTCGCTTTGGGGGTCACTGCCTTTCAAACCACCACAGTGAAACTATGTTTGCTTAGTATCCTGCCAGCGTCTGGGCTGGAGTGGACTGGGCTGAAGCATCCAAGGTGGAGGCCTTCTTAGGTATGGACCTGAGCAGGAACTAGAAGGTTGGGCTTATCCCGTGGTTTCTTCTCTGTGTGTGGACATAATGCCTGACCGGAGTGTCCAACAGCACCGTTAAACTTCTCACTCAGTAACTCAATCTCCAAGGAGACCAGAGCATGAGCTTCCGGGCCTTTAAAAAACTGTGCCTAGAAGTGGCTGGGCTTCATTTTCCCCACATTCTATTGGTGAAATGGTCACAGGCTGTTTTTGGAGAGAGACAGACCTCCACTTTTTAATGAGAGAGATGCTAAACAATTTAGAACCATCTCTAGATTTTTGGAGCAAGACAGAAGAGTTCAACACCGGAAAGATTCACCCAGCCTGGGAACAGACAAAGCAACCCCTCAGCCCTGACAGATGTAACTGTGAGATAATAGTAATTTTGTGTTGTCCGAGTTACCACGTAGTTTGGGAGTAGTTTTTCCTGCAGCAGGAGAATACAAATCCATATGCTTTTTGTCAAGTGCTTTCTGAGACCAGACCATCAACACCTGCTCTAAAACAAACCTGCTTCTTGTATGCCTTTAACAAACATCTTTAAGTTCCTCCCCTTTGCTGTGTGTTAAGCAAAATGCTGAGACAGAAAGAGAAGTTAAAAACAGGCAGGGTTCCCCAAATTACAGGAGTCTAAGAATACCTCTCTTCCTGGTCCTGTCCTGGGAGGTTTGCCTCAAGGCGGACCCTGCCAGATGACGTGGCTTTGTGACCTCTGACTATTCCCAGACTCTGTCCCAAAGCCATCCTGCTTCCTATTCCTCATTCTTCTCCCTGGCTTCTGACCCCTGGTTTATTTCCTGTTCTCCACTTTCAGCCCAAGGGTTAGATAGACCTAAACTCCGCGACTACTACTTTCCCTCAAAAGCCACGGTCCTCTGCACTCCCAAATTTCAAATCCAATACAGGTATTAACTGAGCCATTCCTCCTCATCAACACTAAGAGCCAGAACCGGAAGTCCGTATTGCAAACCCGGAAGTAGTTCGGGGCTCATTCTTCCCTCTACAGGCCCTTTCCTCCTCAACTGCTCCCTGAGAATCATCCCAGTCCAGGAGCCATTGTCCCCAGCCAGCGAGGCGCATCTCAGACGCCCCATCTCCTCGGGCTCTTTTCCTGCTCTGTCTGGATTGGGCTCATTTACTAAAAATTAGTTGGGAATGAAAAAAGCCCCTAGTTTATTAGCGTGCTATTATTCCCTCCCGCCATCCCCCTGCAGCATGATGGATTGCCTGGTGAGGGGATGCAGCCCCAGCCCGGGAGCGAGCAAGCTCTGCTCGGTCCCCAGCGCAGACAGATGGGGAGGCCGAGTCCTGAGCATGATTGATTAGCTCCGCAAAGCCTGTTGAGCGGGGTTCCATCAAGATTGATGCTTTCTCCTCATAACAGCATTTCCAAAAAGTTTCTATTACATTTTGATTATGTTTATAGAATCTCGCTGGTCCAGGGGAAGATGCAATCTCGTTCCTTCCCAGTGTGTGTCTGCGTGGGCCGCCACAGTGCCTCGCCGAATCCGGCCTGCTTGGCCTCTTCACAGTGACCTTCGCTTGCTAGACAGCAGAAGGGACACCCCCCCCCCCAGTGGCCTCCCAAGAACAAGTTAGAGGAAACTAACATCCACTCGCCTCGTGCCTGATGTCCAGCATGGCAGCTCTGGTTTTGAAGGACCAAAGGTCTAGAGGGCTCTATGGCCTAGGCCTGAAGATAGAAGAAATCTCCAAAGGAATTCCCTTAGATCTGAGGTGGTTAAGGAACAAACGGTAGGGGCCTCATTTTTCTACCCAATTCCCAAGGACACAGCAAGGCCATGTCAAATGTAATAAGCGTGATAAAATACATGTTTAAATATTTATATGAGTGTGTGTGTATGTCCATCTTATCCCACAAGGGATTTTAGTGTTGCTTGGGACATGGTGAAGAATGAGTAGAGGAAAAGAATTAGGAACAGAAATGCAAATTAGGCAAGAATGTCAAGACCAAAAAAGGGGAAATTAATATATATACAGCATGTAAGCTGCTACACAGTCTTTATGTTTAGACCTCTAATTTGGTCTGAGTTTCCTGACTGTCAAAGTGAAAAAGGAAATAAATCAACTATTTAGGTCTTCTCTTGCTGTCATTAATAAGAAAAAGAAATTCTTTAAGTTCCTTGGAAAAATTTTAGGGCATTTTTCCCCAAATATTAAAGGAAATTTTTATATTAGATGGGGGAGGGGGATTCACATTGCTTATTTGCTCATTAGTTTGTTTATTGGAAGGGTGTCATGTGCATGCCAAGGTGCACATGTGGAGGTTAGAGAACAACTTTGACAGATGCCGACGTCTTCCTCCCACCACGTGAATTCCCAGGAATTGAATTCCCAGGGATTGAACTCGGGTCATCGTGTTTGCTGGCAATCGCCTTTGCCCACAGAACTCTCTCTCTCCAGCCCTTTACTTAGGTTTCTTATTGTTACTGGTGTTTCCTGATGTTGGGGAGCAAACCCAGGGCCCTGCACATGTCCTTCTGTGTTGTATCATTCCTTAGCTGTAAATTTCATTGTGATATACCTTGAAAGTAAATGATACACTTTCCAAAAATAAAAATTCAAAGCGCTAATTGAGAACTACTGAGTTAAACAATGTCCTCAAAACACCCTTTAGGTAATGTTGAAGGGAGCTGTCTCTTACAGAACCTATCGATGGTTCTATCAAGGGCCTAACTTCACAACATATGGGCCAACGTTGGGTATCTATCTCTCCCCACTTTATTTCAAGATGGGAGCTCTCACTGAGCCTGGAGTTCATTTCAGCTTGGCTGGCTAGCCAGCAAGACCCTGGGCTCCTCCTGTCTCCACCATCACTGCCACTCCAGTGCTGGGGTCACACACACCACTGTGTCCGGCTCTCACATGAGTGCTAGGGATCTAAACTCGGGTTTTTATGTTTGTGCCGCTACTGCTTTACCTATGGGGCCCTTTTCCCAGCTCCAAGATTAACTTTTTAACAAATATTCTTTGAGTGGTTTAATGTCTTTAAAACATGTGTATTAGTTTTTCAGAATGAAACCAACATCTTTTATGGGAACATCAATAACATACAGCAAAGGTTGAAGATGTGGCTCAGCAATGAAGAGCACCAGCCACCCTTCCAAAGGACCTAGGTTCAATTCCCGGCACTCACATGATGGCTCACAACTAACCATCTGTAACTCCAGTTCCAGGGGATCTGATTCCTTTTTCTGACAGCCTCAAGCATCTAACACAGATGTGATCCACATACATGCAAGAAAAACACTCAAACACATAAAAGGAAGTAAATCTTTTTAAAAACTTAAGACACACATGGTTAACAGGCACATGAAAAGGTGTTCACCATCACTAATCATCAGGAAAATTCAAACAAAAACCACAAAGAGGCATCAATTAACATCTGTTAGAACAGCTATTCTCAAAATTAAAAGGGTAACAAATGTTGGCAAATGAAGTGGTAGTGAAGAAATTGGAACCCTTGTTTCTGAGATAGGAGTGATTCTCTGATGTTAGCAGCCACGTTCCCTGAGTCATGTTGTGACTCAGTGGTTTGAATGAGAATGCCCCCCTACAGGCTCAGATGTTTGATTATGTGGTTCCCCATTGGTGGTGCTTTTAGAGAGGTATGGCCTTGTTGGAAGAAAACTGTCCCCTGGAGGTGGGCTTGGGGAGTTTAAAGACTCCCATGGTTCCTAGGTCTCTCCCTCTGCTTCCTGTGGTTGAAGATGTGAGCCCTCAGCTTCCTGTTCCTGATGATGGCTGCTTTCACTCTGCCACCATGGACTCCAACCTTCTGGAACCAAAAAGCCAAATAAACTCCTTTTTTCTATAAGTTACCTTTGTGACGGTGTTTTATCACAGCAATAGAAAAGCAGCTAATCACATGTGTTTGCAAAATATTTGAATTTTCTACTTCA